CACTTATAAACTTAATAACCATCTTGTTTTAAAATCAGTCTCTGGAGGAAAAAATTAAAAAAAAATGTTATGTTGAACTGATTTTTCTAAAACACAAGAAAAATATTTGACAGAAAATTAGCTACTGAGCTACAGATTTTAATCAGTTAAAAACTGAGGGGTGGGGGGTGGAAAAAGATTTTAACGATACTTGTATGTCGGGTGGGGGGAGGTGAAAAATAGGGTTATTACGCCCCCTTTTCCCCAGTTTTTAAATATTCAAAAATGTGCATCTTCAACCAATCCCAAGTTTTTCATCAAATATGCTTTTTTTTTGTGTCTTAGAAAAAACAGGTATACAACATATCAATTTTTTTTTTTCCGGAACCTGGCTTTAAGCATAAAATATAATTGCTATAATTTTTGAAAGTCAAAATAGTTTACAGTTATTATTGGCCTGCAAAGGTCTTTTTGTATTTGTAAATAGAATTAGGATTGTTTTACTGTTCCCCCACGAGTGTGGTTGATTACATTATTTCGTTCCTGAATTAATTTGTGCTTGTGTCAGATTGTAACTTAAAAAGAAAGCACACAATTTCCTGAACTTAAAGAGAGATAGCATCGGTTTCTCAAACTAACTGTGCTATGTATGCGGTTTAGGACAAACATGCTATCTCGCCTCAAATTTAGCAACTAAAATGGAGATAAAATGTAGCATGGTTTCGATCTTCTTAACAAACTGTGTTCTTTAGGAAAAACTACCTACCTCTCCTAACAGTATTTTTAAAAACGTAAACAAGACAATATACAATAATACATTTTACAAAACCAATGTGTTAGGCAACAAATTACCCTCATCTATAGATTTAAATGAGGGTACATGTTGCTTTAAAAACCAATTAGAGATAATTTGCTGAGGATTTTGAAATTTCAAATAGATAATGGAAATTATATTAATCCATCAGATATTTGTATGGCACACGTCTACCCTCCATAGGAAGATGCTTGCGGCGCTGTCTCAAAATTACTATGCAGGCCAATGAAAATAGAATGAATGACAAACAATGAACAAGAAAGAAAACATGAGATAATGGAAGAAAGATCTGAAATGAAAATTCTTCAGTTCAGATTTGAACAACCATTCCTCTATTAGGCCCAATGAAAAAAATTATTAGTTTATCACCCCCGCGCGCATGACTTCTTTCTATGGTACTGGAAAAAAAAAAAAATTTTTTTTAACATTTTATTTATTAATTTTTTTCATTTATTTTATTAAATAGTTAGTAGATATTGTTTGCATTATCTAAATCATGTTTTACTTTGAATATTAATGCAGCAGCAAAGGTCACCGAGGGTGATATTTGGCTTTAGCAAAAACAAATTTAAAATAAGCCTTCCTCCCTCACCACTTTTCCTGCCCAGAGGGTGATAAACTAATAATATTTTTTATAGGGCCTTATACCTTGACTATTACATATTATAAGTGAATCGTGAGGTCATCACTGCAACTCCCAATGTTATTTTCCGATTTCCAACCGGGCACCAATTTTCCATTAGTACACGATTTGCTTGATCTTTATTAGGTTCGTGCGCAAAAGGCCAATTCAACTAGAGCTTTTTCAAAGATGCAGGGAACAAATTTAAATGTCCCTAGGGAAGGCCCAGGCCAGCCCAATCGATTCCTAGTCTAGATGGAATCATCACAAGATTTTACCTGTCTGCACCGACCAAAAAGTGTGATTACTGTATTCTTTAAAATATTCTTTAAGAAATGTTTATTTCTTTCACGAATGTCTATCAAAATGGTAAACTCATGACAAGTTCTTCGAACACAATGAAATATTTATACATTGTAATGCTGTGTAAACGTACATACAATTTCAACTTCACTGCTGTGCTAGCACATACTGCAGCAACAACCCGCACACAAATGTAATACGCACGCCGATACTGATCGTATCATTATAGACATCGATGACTACTACAACAGCTTGATTAAAAACATTAAACAGTGGCGATTGACCTATAAAGCCATTAGAATAGTGCTTATCTATACACTAGAGGAAATTATTATACTTAGGTTAGATTAATGCATTAAAAAAATTCCTTCGGGCCTTGCAAACCCTTATGAATTTTTTTCTTGCATTAATTTAACCTTCGTATAATAATTTTACACTAGTGTATGATACGCAACTATTCTAATTGCTAAGTGACAGTAAACAAACTCGGAATAATGTGATGTTAGCCATTGCCAATTTCAAACTGTAAAAAAAAAAACAAAGTTTTAGACAGAATCCTAATGACTTGTATCACATACAGTCTTGCTTCGAAGTTATTGGTGAATGCAGTTTGTCAATTTACAGGGTATTTGATTTTTTTTTTTTTTAAACCAACCATCTATTTTCATTTATCATAATATCATCCGTTTATACAGTGAATCGTTTTTCATCTCTATATATTTTTTCAGTTCCTTATGTTCTCAAAATGTTAAGACATTGCCTGCCATGGGGAAGGGTAATTCTTTCTCATTAGCTAATCCAGATATGTCAATTTTATCAAACAAGCTCTGTAGACATACTTATAAAGCCCTGTCTACACTATCATGCCTATATATGGTCTTTATGTGATGTCATCATGACCATATTTAGGCACATGTTTTTGTCAATTAAAATTTGAGAGTCTGGACAGGGCTTGGGGGGGGGTGGGGGAAGGGTGATAAATTAAATGTGAAAAACGATTCTTTTAGATGTTACACAAGTTACATGGGGAGTTTTTGCGCTGACAGAATGTTTAAGATACAATACAATAGGCTTGTCAGTGGGAACAATTCTAGTGGTGCCTTCATGTACGTTAACATCTAATTAACATCTCGACGAGTCATTTAGTCACGTGATCAAAAACTTTTTCTCGAACATTTTAATTTCCTTAGACAGTGTCAACGTGAAACATACGTGAGCGAAGGCTTAGATGTCTATGCTTGTTTACAGATACCCAGATTTACACGAGCAGTGCGCATCAGTGACTTGACTTTTGCCGACAACGAAGTTGACTGAATGTGGCTTTTCCCTCTTCCTTTGGGAGCAAAATACAGAGGCTTTTACAACAATTTCCCTGCCTGTTCTTCCATGAAATAGATTAACACTATGAATATATGATTCATTTGCATACCGCCTACCCTGAATTCTCTTTCTTAAAGAATATGTTCGCCAACTCGGTAAGTCTAGCCCCCATTGTCTAAGGTTTTCGTGACTTTGTGGGTGGGGCTTCGCATCCTTGTTGACATGTCAATTGTGACAGCATTTAACTTTTCGAAAATCTACTTTGCATGGTTTTACAACTCATATATTTACAATTGTAATTTAGGTAAAGAGAAAATGCCCAGTTGTCTGTCCATATATTTTTTTTTTTAATGCCATTTCGTTATTTTGATTTTTAAAAATATCAAAATAATTATAATAATTTATTGTGTTAACATTTTATTCAAAACAATGAATACCTTGTCATTCGACAAAACACAAATTAGTATGAAAAGAAAAGAGCTAAACGAACAGACATTTTACCTAATGACAAAGGAAGGAATTTAAGCATGCCCATGGCACAAACTGCTGTTCACATGGATATCCGCATGTTTTTATTTATTTATTTATTTGTTTATTATATTTTATTTTTTTTAATTATTTATGTTTTTCCAGTGTACTCTTGCTAGCCGCGCACAATCACCTTTGTTCTCGAAGGACGGTAACTTTAAAGGATACTATGTATTCGCTGCGCTGTATTTTATTACAATAATTACGTTTATGATTGTTATTATTATCATTAATGTTGTTGTTTTTGTTAATTATCATTATCATTTTTTTGTTTTATATTTATTATTATTATTGTTATGTTACTATTTTTTTTAAATGCCACTTATTTTGGTTATTTTGATTTTTAAGAATATTTAAATAATATATAATAATTTATTGTGTATTTAAATAATATATAATAATTTATTGTGTTAACGTTTTATTGAAAACAATGAATACCTTGTCATTCGACAACACAAATTAATATGAAAAGAAAAGAGCTAAATAAACAGACATTTTACCTAATGACAAAGGAAGGAATTTAAGCATGCCCATGGCACGAACTCCTGTTCACGTGGATATCCGCACATGTTTTTATTTATTTATTTATTTGTTTACTTTATTTTATTTTTTTTTAATTTACATGTTTTTCCAATGTACTCTTGCGAGCCGTGCACAATCACCTTTGTACCAGTAGGACGGTAGCTTTAAAGGAGACAATGTATCCGCTGTGTTTTATTATAATAATTACGTTTATTGTTAGTATGTTTATTAAGGTTGTTGTTTTTGTTCTTATTATTATCATTTTTTTGTTTTATATTTATTATTATTGTTAATATTATAATTATAGTTTATTGTTACTTAGACCCCTAGAGTCAAGGTAACAAAAATTTTAAAAAGAAACTTTTTTTAAACTTACCCTCGAGTATGAAAGAAAATAATGAGATCTCCCGCCTCATCTATGAATCCCCACGTGTATTGGTATATAGGCACATGTGTGGATGATGTATGTTCTGTGTAGTGCCTCAGGCTCTAGTTGATACATTATATACATTTCACCCATAAATTCTAGACCATCTGTGGGACCTGAAAATTTGGAGTGGTCTCATGGTTTTGTCTCAACATTAGGGTTAGCTTAGTGTCTTAGATCATGCTTAGATTGAAGATTGTTATTTGGTTCTTAAATCATGGTCTCAAATTAGATGGTCTTGAATTAGAGGGTGCACTGTATATGAAATGTCATTACCAATTATACAACCTGTGATCATTTTTGTATCATTGTAAGCTAAATATTTACATTTTTGATGAGCTTCATTATTTTAATCTCTATATACTTTTTTATTCCTGACAAGAAAATTTTCATGAAAAAAAATTCAATCGTAATTTAATTTGGGAAAAATATGAATAATATAATTATTTATTGTTTTTTTTCTTTTCTATTTCTTTGCATATTAGGAGATGGAACCTGTTTTTATTTGAATCTGGAGACGGAGGCCATTGATGTATTTACGGGAGCAGACCTTGACCCCATCACCGCAGTTTGCGTCTCTGACAACACCATTATCACATCGTGTAGAGATAAATTGATTCGTGTTTATAATCATTAAATGTAAGTTTTAAAAAATCGTATACATTTTAGTATTGTTGTTCAAATTGTGTGTTTGAATACATCCATATAACGTTTATTGTTATCTTGCTTTTTTAATTCCTCACCGAATCACCTTCCTAGGGCATTACTCCGGTGGTTATTGTGCCGGGGAAGATTGCTGTCTGCGCTTTAATTCTTCTTAAGTGTTTTATGTCCATATTATTTTCTGTACTTCTATTTATGGTTAAAATAATCCTGTGTATCATTTTTTTTTTTGCCTGGGTCATGTTTTATGATATATTTTAATTTGATGATGTTGAGTATTAATAACCTGGACTCAATGGTGGTTAGCAGACAATGAACTACTGTATTAATAGCGAACATCTAAATTTATTATGATTATTTATTAGCATTATGTTTTGTTTGAGTGGCGTTGTTGCAGAGTGCACAAGCTGAAATGGTGGATTTGGTTCAAATCTTAATATAATAATTTATTATAATAAATACCTGATAATAGATTGTTAAAATATCAATAAAAAGTGATTTATAAGAAACAGTAATTTTTAATGTATACTATAAACTAGTAGGTAAAAAATTTACAGTAGGTCTATTTCAGGTGATGTTTCTGAAACCAGAACCTAAATTTTTTTAAATGATACCAAAAATTCACATGATAATTAGTCCCAAGTACTGTAGTCACATATTCACTTGCTAGTAGGTACGTAATTCAGTCTTGAAATGTTACATGGTTTAGTCCTGAATAGTCAAGATTCAGCCTTGAAAGTCTCATGATTCAGTTGTGAATCGTCACATTGTTATTATTATTATTATTATTGTTATTATTATTATTATTATTATTATATATATGTATATATATGTATATATATGTATATATATATATATATATATATATATATATATATGTATATATGTATATGTATTTTGATGCTAATAATAACTTAAAGATTAAATTGATCACATGATCAATTCTGAGAAATAATTTAGTCTAGAGTAGTTATGGGATGTAGTTTGGTGCTGTCATCAAAATGAGTTAAGACAATGATTTGTCATTTAAGGAGTATTTTTTTTTTTTTTTTCCTCAAATCCAACCTCTAGTAACTCGCCAGTTACAGGATGGAATAATGCTTTATTTATAAGCTAAGTCTTTTTAAGAGGCTTAGGGAGTGGAGCTGTTTTTAGTGTGAAAGAAAAATATCCGGTTGTGACTGGGTTTTGAAGCCTGAAATCTGGGATTGGAAGGCAAGCATCCTAACCATCAATCTATTCAACTTCGCTCCATTTTGCTAAGTTTAAAGTTACATTTTTTTTCTAGGTCGATGCTCTGTAAGGTAAGTTGGTGTGCCTAATCCATATAGATGAAGCTTGTACTGCATCATATTGAAGTACTGAGATGAACATTTCATGATGCATATGATGCTAATACATTTTAAACATGATTGGCCAGAAACTAGACAAGTTCAATTCCCAAGCGAATTGCAACAGTTGTTTCCACTCTCCTTCAATTGACAAAGTCAAAATACCGACTTGCTTTCGAAATGTTGCATAAACACGCCATGTAAACTTTCATAAAAAGTAATATTCTCAGGATGTTTAAATTTTATGAAAGGATTATCGAGATTAATGCATGTTCGAGCAATTCAAAATATTGCCACTTTAAGTTTCATAAACATTGTTTGAACATTATAAGTAGGGCACAGTGAACCCGTGTGTCTCGTTAGGAAGACTATTTAATGATTAGTGTAAAGCTGTGAAATCAGCAAACATTTAGAATCTTTTATACACCAAATCATGCATACTCATTGAGATTTGCAATAGTAGATACTGATTCGATGTCTACATACAAACACTTCTATCCTTTAGTCTCAATTTTCCTGTGCTTATATTTTTTCTCTGTTATTTCCCATTCTTTAAACTAGAAAAGCTGTGCGAGCTACCAATTTGCTCACATGGCCTAGATTGTATTTCTTTTTGACCAAGGCTTTTATGTGACAAATAATACCTTTGATTTGCCCATATATGGGTGTGATAATACAACATCACCAATTACATGGGCATATCACATGTACTGTATTTGTCACAGAATAATTTAAGTATGTAGCGCTTTTGAATTCCCGGTATAAGTGCTATATAAATCCAAATTCATTACATTAAATTATTGTGTAGACCGAATATTTGCTATCATAAGGAAATGCTTCCTAAGAATTGAACCCAGGAAATAAGCACCTTAACCATAAAGTTAAAACTCCCATCCTACAGTGTGTCTGCTAAATGCTTCAAGGGTCTCGTTTTCTTTCCCATCTGCTTTGATCCTTAAGTGTCATTCTCTTTCATCTCAGTCGGCAATACTGGTGGTATCCGCTGTGTGTGTGTGTGCATGCTGCACTATGGAGATCTCTTAGGTCCCTGGTTGATTTCCCATCGTTGCTCTCTTTGTGTTTCAGCTAAAGGGCTAAAATGCAAGTTACGATATGGCACCGTCTTTTGGATAAGACGTTTAAGCCGTTGGTCCTGTGTGCATTATAGCATATGTGCACGCGACAGTTACAACAAACAAATTGAAATTTTCTTACATTAACAGGAAACTTGTCATAGATTCAGGTCTAGTCTAATTGTATTTAACCAAGAATCAAGCAATCAAATATTCTTGATAAGGAAATAACTATCATATTTTCTCTAATTTTTATAATATTTTTAAAATTTAAAATAGAAGTCTGTGTGCTCATGTTGTACAGTGTTGTGGAGTCAGTATCTGAGAATATTAAGTGCTTGTGATTGGTCAATCTGATGTCATAGGTTACAATATAGAAACGCGACCTAATTCTGCTAACTTTAATACTGATAGATTAGCTGGCCGCTTTGCTGGACCTAAGCTGACTTAAAATTTGTACCAAATTTAGGTCGGCTCAGGGCCAGCTTAAAATCATGTCCCCGATCTTGAGATAAACCGGCCCTGGCTCATCTAATCTTTTAAGAGTGGATATAATTTTCAATGTGCGCCAAATTTTTTAGAAGTTATATCTGAGAGTTCTGTTTCTTTTCCAATGATGATTATTCAACTTTTTTCAATTAGATCATTAACTTTGAATAGAGAAAGAAAAACATTTTTCTCACTTATTAAACATGCATACAGTTACAGTATTGTTTTGCATAAACCCTTAAATTTGCAGGTATTTACTCAGTGTAAGGATATTGTGGTAAAAATCATTAAACTGAGTAAATACCAGCAAATTTAAATGTTTAAGGATTTATTTTGTGTTAAGAAGTATGGATTAGTGGGTACTCAATTCTTTGACCTGTCATAAAAAAATCTTTGATATGTTTATGACTGATTTTTCTAAGGCACAAAAGGCATATTTGAAAAAAATCTCTGAAACGGATAATGAGAATCTGATAAACCGGCCCATGGCAAAACAACATAACTACTATTATATTTTGTGTTTCGCCTTGAAATGGCAGAGAATATTTAAAAACAGGGGGAAAAAGGGGCGTAAAATTAACCACTACTTACTTCCTTTTTCCCCCTGTTTTTAAAATATTAAAGAATCTGTATCTTATTAACCATTTCCAAGCTTCTTTTGTCCTTAAAAATCAACATATCAAAACTTTTTTTCCAGAGGCTGACTTTATAATCTTATTTAAGTGTTTTAAAATGAACTCCCCTTTATATTATTTGATTGTTGGAGAGTTATTCTTGTTTGTATTATGTATTTTAATGGTCACAAAATATACAAAATTTAATAGTTACAATGCTGGCCAAATCATCACATAACCCACCTACCACATTATCTTTAAAATTGTTGAAATACTACATATTCCTACAAACCATCTACTGCCCCCTATGAACAAATATTTTTGCTAAAATATATCACTGATGTTATTGTACTGTTTGATATTTGATTTATTATTAATGTTATTGTAAGCACAAACAAATGTTCACATTGTTAAATTCTACGAAAGTAATTGTATTCATAATCCACGAAGGTTTGTATGTATTTATTTTACTTAATTTAATAAGACGTTGATACAACAGTTATCTGTGGCAGCAATAGCAAACATCAGTTTAATTAATAACTTTAAAATAATCAATTCTATCCTGTCTAAAACAAAATAAAATCAGTGTATGCCAAGTTTTTTTTAATAATAAGTAATGCTCTGTTCCTAATCTCTTTAATGCTCTACTTGATGGTATGTTCTGCAAACCGTTTCCTCTATCAAAGGTTTTTTTTTATTTCACAAATCAAAAATCAACATATATCTTATACATAAATCAAAAAAATGAACAGAAATAAAACAATTAACAGCAGACATTAATTTCTAGAAAAAATAAATAAAATAATAAAAAAATTAAATATATAAAAAAGAAGTAGTTGTTTTAATTGTGGTGCAAGGAGGATCCAAAAAAAATCTTAAATTTAAAAAATTTTTTTGATTGGGACCTAGAAATGGAACTAAAAAGGTGATTTTTTTTTTGTGGAGACGATTTCTGACAGTAGACCCAAAGTATAGAAAAATATAACTTTTGAAAGTATTTATAAACTTCCATAAATAACAATATTAAATATCATAGCAAAAATAAAATCAGGACAAACTAATACAAAACATCAGTCATAAACAGAGGCAGATCGTGGTGGGGAATAGGGATAGGTCCTTCTCTCTCCCCCCCCCCCCAAAAAAGGGGGAGAAATGAGTGAAGAAAAGAAAGGAGAAAGAAAGGAACAATATTACTTCAGAACAGGTTTATTTTTATTTTAATTCCATGTACAGTACCAGTGTCAGGCACTTCTAAAAATTTCCCCGCCCCGGCTTCCTCTCCTGGCCACTGCTTGGCGCATCACATGGTCCCAACCAGATTCTTCTCTGGATTTGCTCCCGATATACAGTACCATATTACCTGCCTCTGGCAGGTAATCGCTCAGTAACAAACCGATGTTATTTGGTGCGTGGTAAAGCAACATACTACTCCTGGCTATGAACATATGGCAAACCTCAAGTACACAATCTTACAAATACTAAGTGTAATTCTTCTAAACAAATATTTAGTTTTATAGGTCAACGTACAGATTCTAGAAACTGTTGCTACTAAGTAAAGTCGTCTCACTTACAATGTCATCATTCATAAATTGATTTCACTCATCAAGTAAGTAATATGTAGGCCTAATGTAAACGATATCGCAGTGCAATGTAAGACTCCGTAATTTATTAACATTCAATTCAATAACGATGATATTAAATCTATTTTTATTTTATTCATAATTTGATTCCACTCAACCAAACATGAAATGTAGGTGATTGTGATATTTTTTTATTTATTATTGCTTACGGTGATATTTAAACAAAATATTTGATTAAAAATATAATATATGTGGTATAAAACATGGCTACGATTCAATTTAATACTTTGAATTTCTAAGTGAAAATGATATGTTATCAAATTTCAGTAACACATAGACAATTCACTTCTTGCTAATATAGCACATTTTTCCCTACAAAAATCCATAAATTACCAGCCAATAAAAAATAGCCCTATAAAAAATATTATTAGTTTATCACCCTATCTGGGCAGGAAAAGTGATGAGGGAGGCAGGCTTTTTTTTTTAATTTTTAATTTGCTAAAGCCAAATATCACCCTTGGGTTGTTTGCTGGTGCATTAATATTAAAGTAAAACATGATTTAGATAATGCAAACAATATCTACTAACTATTTAATAAAATAAATGAAAAAAATTAATAGATAAAATTAAAAAAAAATTTTTTTTTGTTTTGTTTTCAAAAAAAAATTTTTTTTTCCAGTACCATAGAAGACATGTGCACGGGGGTGATAAACTAATAATTTTTTTTATTGAGCCTAAGTGTCTACCAAAAAAATAACTATACTTTTAGAAGCTCCTGTTATAATTGCCGTACTAATAGTGTTACTTAATCCAGAAGAAATTGGCGTATCTACTTGAGGCTTGGGGTGCATGCCCTTCCACCCACCAAAGAAGTTTGCAATCTCAACCTCCCCCCCCCCAAAAAAGGTT